TGTGTGTGTGTTTGACAGAGATCAGTTTCTAAACTTGTGTCACCCTGAACGCTGTGTGTGTGTGTGTTTGTTTGCCTGTGTGTGTGTGTGTGTGTGTGTGTGTGTGTGTGTGTGTGTGTGTGTGTGTGTGTGTGTGTGTGTGTGTGAGTTGATGTGTGTTTGCGTGTTTTTCTCTGGTCTTTCTGAAAAGTGAGAGCAGCTGATTGGGGAACGTCTGAACTCCTGTAGGTGTTTCCTGTGTGACAAAAGCGGCAACTCAGAGAATCACACTGCTGATGTACACACACATGCACGCACACACTCTCACAGACAGACAGACACACACACCCACTTTCTCTTCCATACACTCTCTCATACACAAATTCACACACACAAACATACACAAACTCTTTTACACACAATATTTGTCTCACACACATACACACACACTCTCACACAAACACTTTCTCCACTTTTTCTCTTACACACACACACCACACACACCATATTCAGGGTGACACTACAACACAAGTTGACTGGTCACTGCCACACTCACACACACACACACACACACACACACACACACACACACACACACACACACACACACACACACACACACACACACACACACGCATGCACACACATACACACACACACACACAGACACACAGAGAGAGAGAGAGAGAGAGAGCTGGAGATTAGGCATGGGATGATGTTGAAGGTATATCACAGTTTGCAATAGTCCAGGTTTTAAAAGCGTCAACATTTTCTGCATTACCGGTCCTGAGGTACTGTGTATGATTTTGTTATTTACATTTGTTTTTGGATAACAGTATCTCCAGCAGAAAATATATCCAAAGATGCCATTTAAATTGTTTAAATAGTCTGTTTTGAGACTAATGAAGACAGCAGAAGGCAATAATTGCTTTAGTCTGACATGTTTACTGCTGTAAAATATTATAAATGTTTCTCTAAATAAAATATATTGTGTTCAGACGGGAAAAAGGTTTTTGTATTTAACCCAGACATTTAAAAAGAAGATATTTTAGAGCAGTAACCACAATACAGTGATATTTTAATGCAAGTTTATCACACTGTCACATGCCTACTCTAGAGCTCCTGTGCTAATGCAGCTTAATGAAACTCGATTTACAGAACCTGCACGAGCGAGCATTCAGATGTATTGATCATGCAGCCCGGCTCTCTATGTGCTCAATAATCAACTGCACAGAGCACATATTACAGGGAAAGAGGTGCAAATCATGTGTGTTGCCAGATCTGTGTGAACACATAATAATAAACCTTCAATTAGAAAACAAAGCAAAATCCTCCAGATATCTGCTCTTCAGTCTGATTAGTCTAACACTCTTTCATTTTTGATTCAGTTTATGATTTGGGATTGATTCCCAAAGTTTAAAGATGCATATAATAAGTGGACATGGCAACACAGCACATGCACACTAACCACACACTGCAAACCATGCCTTTCATATTGAGCTATCATTAGTCTTGCTGCTAGTATTGCCTTGATTTAAGAGAGTATATGAGAAAACAAGAGCAAAATAATCTGACAATTGAGAAAAGAGAATCAGAAATTTAGCTTCATCTTGCACACTATAAAACAGCACTATATTATTAGCACATGTAGAAAATGCTCCATGACTTAAGAATGTGTCAGATATTTGGATTAGAAACAAGACAAACACTCCAAGAAAAGCCTTTTTGCAGTGCAAGCATGTGTTGTCAGTGTCAAATTGAGGATTTGGTGCCAGTGATAATGCAATATCTCCTGTTTATTGGCTTATACATAACCTGCACAGTTACTCATTTAATAGGGAAATTAACATATGAAGAAAGAAGAAAGGAGCCATTTTCAGTTCAAGCACTCAGCTGCAGCACCTAAAGGGAAAATGGCTCCTTCCTGTGGCCCCCGACATGCAGGGTTTGTGGTCTAGCCTAGAACATTTTGCAATATATGCACACGCTCACGTGTTTCAGGTTGCAAAAGATCTTGTTGATAGCTGCTGTTCTGTTTTTTAGAGCATCATCTCACAGCTGATGTGTGTGCAGACACCTGCACCCAGAGGGACATCAAACATTCAAACATCCACAGCTGGAGAACCGAACATGATGGAGCCGGAGCACCTGCAGACCACAGACAACACATGCTCTCTACGCTCGACACGCTCTCTTACACACAGCTCTGACCTAACTCTGCCTTCAAAATAAGACAAGCTCAACAACACTCGACTCTTTCCTGAACTTGCAGCACATACCTGCACACATCAGAACAATCCGCCGAGCCATCGAGAAAAGATGTTCCAGCTCCAATTCTCATGAGACAGGAAGAGGAAGGAGATTGAGTCAAAAACAGGAAGGTGTCTGCACCACAGGGCGTGGTCAATGATAATGATGATTTCATTGGAGGATTTATAGACAAAAACTTCCACACAATCTGCGGGGGCAGTGGTGGAATCATGGATCTGGAGTTGACTTGTAGTTCTTGTTCCTGGAAATACAGTTTCTCCTGGTCCAGTAACTGCATGGCAGAACTCTTGGTAAAGCTTAGCTGTGGTAGTGAGGTATGTACACCAGCAGAGGGAGCTGTTGCCCAGTCTTCAAAAGTCCCAGGGCACTTCTTGTGAATTGTTCTGGACAGACTCCATCAGCTCTTACCTATCATGTGCTCATACTAATAGGGTTAGGGTCTGTCCTGTTCACCTGTGCAGGTCTGTGGTGAAGATCCGGAGCCGCTGGCTGTCACTGCTGTCTTTATATTATTAAAATTGACAGAAATACAAGTTTAAAAGATTTGTATTAAAAGCCTGCATGAATAAGAAATGTATTTCTCTAGGCGTCATAGTGGCACAGTGGGTAGCATGATCACCTCACAGCAAGAAGGTCTCTGGTTTGAGTCTCGGCTGGGTCAGTTGGTGT